AAAGCAAGTGGCTGACGTAGTTAGTTCTTTGATGTGGCTTGTGTAGTTTAGTCGAGTTTCGAGTATTGTGCTGGTGAATTTGGCTATTTGTAATAAAAACATTTGTGAAGAAATTTGGCAGGTTATTTAAATGATGATATCGGAACATAAAAAGACTTGTGAGATATTTATTTAACTTACTTAGATTCAAGATCTGAAGGTCAACAAATATTTTTTCAGTGTGAGAAGTGTAGGACTGGAATGTCATTAGTCGAACTATTTTCTTTTGAATATTGATTAGTTTTTGAATTTGCTTTTTGTATGTACTGCTCCATATTAAATTGCCATAGATTAAATACGGATAGACCAAAGCATAGTAAGGGACCGCTCATTATTTATTGTACAGGGGGGGACTGAGGAGAAACTCTACAGTTGTAATATTTTTTCGTTGCCCCCCTCTTAAGACAAGTAAAATTTTCAAAGCCCCCCCCCCCAACAGGCAAAACAAGAACATACACTTTGCCCCCTCTAGCTCTTTATCTTTATTTAGAGAAACAAAAACTCTAGCTGTTTATTTTAGAGAAAGAAAAATAGGTAATGGGGACCAATAGACATTCCCATTATAGACTAATTTTTTATCTTAGCAAAAAAAGTATATTCCCGGGAAGGGCATACTAAAATTACTAAAATTCCAAAGTTTGGTTGCAAAATGTTGTAAAATATGTAGAAAATATAGCCTTCCAAAGTTTGCAAATTTTGTATTCTTTTGTATAATTGCAATTTTCGCATGCAATACAAAAGTGTACAAAATTTGCAAACTTTGCAAGGCTATATTTTCCGTATTTTGCAACAATTCGCAACCAAACTTTGCAATAATTTACTTATTTTAGTATGCTCTTTCTAGCTGTGGTGATTTATTTGCATCAAGGCCGGATTTTGAGGGAAGTGTGGAGAGGTGCGCACCTCCCCTGAGATTGTTTTGCACCTCCCCTGAGAATTTTTCCACCTCTCTTGAAAGGTCATGCACTTCCCCTTGGGAAAGTTTCAATGATGGAACAAAGTGAAAATGTGATGGTTGCTTAGGATCTACACTTTGTGACGTAAGAAAGTTTTCTCTGTAAAATTGAAACAGTGATAGCCATGTCAAGCACCCTTTTAATGCAATGTTTTGAAAGAAACAGTGTAGCAATTGTAATGAAGGGCAAGATTGGAGTCATACATTCATAATTCATTAATACACTGGTACATATTATGTACCCTACATGCATACCTCACCTGGTTGATATTGGCCTGTTCTACAATAAGCCCTAACTTTCCATGGGAGTTGTGAGCTAGACCGCTGCACCTCTCCTAAAATTTTTGTCCACCTCCCCCACTATTTTCACCAAAATTCGGCCTTGATTTGCATCTCTTTGCCTAGTTCTAAAATTAGTCTATAATGGGAATTGTCTATTTACATGAACATGAGAGACTTTTTATTTGACTTCCATTTATGAATATTAAAGTCTATAAATATTGTTATTTGTTGTTAAGTTGTTTTGTGATACATTTTTAAAACTACTGTTTTTTCAAACTGGTAAATATTTTCAAAGCCCCCCTTCTTTCGTCTCTCTGTATTTTTTCAAAGCCCCCCCTTTCAGGTTTTGAAAAATTTGAAGGCCCCCCCAGTTTCTCCTCAATCCCCCCCTGTACAATAAATAATGAGCGGTCCCTAAATTAGTTTTAAAGTATTCAAATTAGTAAAATGACGTATTTTTGCAATAATTCCTGCAGACTTTACTATCTTTTTGGCTACTGAATCAATATGGTCATTCCATGATAAACAGTCATCGATAACTACTCCTAGAAAGGTTGTACTTTTGACTTGTTTGATATCATCATTATTGATGGTCAATGTTACTACGTGTTTTTGTTTCTTTTTTGAGGATCGAAATAAAATAAATTTAGTTTTTGATGTGTTGATAGATAGTTTGTTTGTGTTAAGCCATTCTGCTATCTTGTCCACTTCCGGCTGAAGAATTTTATTTAGTGTTTTGAGGCATGAGTGAGTATAAAATATGTTTGTATCATCAGCAAACAATATCGTTGATGCTATATCACTGCAATTTTGAATATCATTTATATAGAGAATAAAAAGTAGCGGCCCTAGTATTGAACCTTGTGGGACCCCAGTTTGCACCATCATTTCGCTTGACATTACTTGTTTATATTTTACAATTTGTTTCCTGTTTGTGAGGTAATTTTCAAACCAAAGTTTTGCTATTCCACGAATTCCATAATATTCTAATTTACCTATCAGAATCTTGTGATCAATGGTATCAAACGCTTTTGATAAATCAAGGAAAATACCAACGGTGTAGTTTCCCTGATCAATTTCTTTTGTAATTTTGTTAACAAGTTTGATTATTGCAAGTTCAGTTGATCTGTTTTTTCTGAACCCATATTGATGTTCAGACAAAGTTTTTATTCTTTTCAACATAATTTATTAATCGTTTATATACATGAGTTTTTCAAGTATTTCAGCAAAACAAGTTAAAACTGATATTGGTCTGTAGTTTTCAAATTTATTTTCTTCGTTTGGTTTAAATATAGGTGTTACTAGGGACGTTTTTATCTGTTCAGGGATAATACCTGTAGTAAATGTTAAATTGAATATATGTGTAAGTGGTTTTGATATTACTTTACCTACCTGTTTAATTATTTTCGCATTGAAACCATCATATCCGGGGCTATTATTTGAATTTAAATCATGTATTTCATTTTCCACCTCTATTTCCGTTATAGGATCAAGAAACATACTATCTAAATAATTACCAGTTAAATATTTGCTAGAATTTGACTTACGTGTATGCGTAATTTCCTTCGCTAGGTTGGGACCGATGTTAATAAAGTAGTTGTTGAATTTATTGGCGATTTCCTTTGGGTTTATAATAGAATCTGTTGAATTAGAGTCAATAAATTCATTTGAGATTTCCTTTTTCTTTGTTTTTCTGTTTATTATCTCATTTAGAGTTTTCCACATCATTTTGGAATCGTGGAATTTTTTTTGGATAATCTAATTACATGATTTAGTTTATTTTTATATTTTTTGTATACATTCTCATTTATTTTACTTGAATCGGATAAGTATTTTTTGTATAGTTTATTTTTCTTTTTGATTGATTTTAGAACACATTTTGTCATCCATGGACTTCTATGTTTATTAATGTTCATTTTTACTTTTGCCCTTTTTATTGGAAATTTTTTTTCATAACTACTCGTGAATAACATTGAAAACTGATTAAAGGACTCACATGGGTTATTAGAAGAAATTGTGCCTTCCCAAGATAAATGTTCAATTTCATCTGAAAATAAAGTTAAGCTATTTTTATTATATATTCTTTTTGTATAGTATTTTTCTTCTGTATTTTTGCTAGGTTCTAGAGTATCCAAACAACATGTATGAACTATTGGTAGATGATCTGAAATGTCACTAAAAGGAATTCCATGTATACTTGAGTCAATCTTATCAATGTTGTTCGTGAAAATATTGTCTATAAGTGTAGCAGTATGAGATGTTATACGAGTTGGTTTTGTTATAAGTGGGTAAAAAGATGTAAAAAGTTGCTCGGTGAAATTATTGGTAAAATCACAAGATTCTGATTTAAAGGGGAAGTCAAGTCCGTAATGTAAACAAACGGTTTGTTTACATTTTGAACTGCTGTATTTTTTAAAATATGATGTACTGTCTGAATATCTAACACCATTTTGGTTCGTTATGCTTCTACATGAATATGAAATAGAGTTTGTGTTCACAAAAATTCGAAACATTCAAAATTTGGGCAATGTTTACCTCAGAGGGCCCTCTATTGTTATGCGCAGAACCGATGCGCAGAACGGACTTGACTTCCCCTTTAAGCAAATCGATATTAAAGTCTCCCATAAGATAGCAGATCTTATTCTCTTTGTCTAACTTGCTCAAAATTTGCTTCATGGCATTTTCAAATGTTTCAATTTTATTATTTGGTGGCCGGTAAATTACCCCCACTATAATATTTTTCCCATTTTCAGTGGCTACCTCTATAAAAGTGGATTAAATTGTTTCGTATATGTTAATATTTAGATCTTTACGTAATTTCTATTTCAACCTTTCAGCAATATATATACCTACACCACCACCTTTTTTATTTTCTCTGTGTGCGCTCGTGAAATCATAACCTTCCAAGTTAAAATTTTTGTAGTTTGTTTCACCTAACCATGTTTCTGTTAAGCCAATAATCTCAAAGTTTTCCTGCGTAGACTTGATTAACTGTTTAAGCATGTCAAATTTATTTACGATACATTACTTCTTATATTCAAGCATAGAACTGAGAAATTGTTTAATTGACCTGATTTTGTAACACTTGTATGTTTTTTGAAGTGTTCCGGTATAAAATAATCGCATTTTAATCTGTTTGTATCTAGAACATTTTCTAAGTTCACATTACTTTCACACATCGCTATGTCTTTATTTAAATAAAACGGATTAAGTTTCAGCTGATTTAGTCTATGCATATCTCTCTCTGACAAATTATTATTATCAATTGATTCGAACTCGTAATTTGAAAGCGTTTGAAATGGCAGAGTATTTTTTAAACAAAATTGGCATAAATCAATTTTTCTGTCATTAAGATTTGATGCTTTTAGGCATTAAATGTCCGCATGAAACCATTTTAGGCATGTGACGCATTCCATATGATTTTCATGCTTTTCAATAAGCTTAGTGCATGAAGAACATTTACTTCAAAGTTGTTCTGACATTTGGGGGGTTATATCTGACATTTACATATAAGGAAAGATTTATCTTAATAAAGTACTAAATTAAACTATGGATCATTGTGATCAAATTGAAATTGGATATATAAAGTATATAACGTAAATATTAATGTTGACCATCTGGTTTGAATACTTTACCATCTATAATAGGTTTGTCCCGCATTAACTTTGCTTTTTTCCCCTTGTGTTTGGCCTTCTTTAATTCTGGATATAATTCCTTTCGAGCTTTAACAATCTCTGCTGGGAATTGTCCCCCTATTCCGATATTTGTTCCTCTTAGTGTCATTGCATTCCGACGTATAGTCTCTCTGCCTTGGTGATAATTGAACTTTGCGACAATTGGCCGCGGCTTGCTTTGCTCCCGGTTTTGGTCTCCCAAGGCGGTGTGATCTATCAATTTTTATGTTTTTTGTGGCATCTTTCATGCCCATCTTCTCTTCCAGCAGCTTATGAATGATTGGTGTTGTTTCCTCGTCTCTAGTCTCTGGGATATTGTAGAAAATTAAATTGTCACACATTGACCTAGCTTGAAGGTCAATGAGGCTTTTGTTTAGAAGTGTATTTTCATTTTCCAGCTTCTCCAATCGTTTTCTTTACGTTCATCCATTTTCTTTCGTTCTTCATTATCGATCTTTAAGTCATTAACTTCGGCATGCGCAAACTCTATAGAGTCTTTTACAGACTTTAAATCTTGCTCAAATGACTTCACTTTATCCTCAATCGAATCCAGTTTATCAAGCTTCATCATCATCTCGCTCATCATATTAAAAATATCATTCAAATTCTTTTCTTCCGCGGGTTTTGTTTCTTTCGTCTTACTCTCTTCATTGTTACATTTTGGAATTTTTTATTGTGTTGCTTTTATGGGCGTACTGGTATTAGAAACGTTTAATGCTTGCACAGAGCGCAACTAATATTGCTGCGAGTAATATGTGTGCTTGATATATAATTTGTGCTATTTACTGTAGTTCTATTTGCTTTTAATTTAATGCCCGCAGCAATCCCTACCTTGCAGGTACCCTAGTTTTAGATTTATTAATATTTAAACAGCGGCATGGTTGAATGACTGAACTGAAACGTTGCTATTGGATGATTTGTTCATTATACTGAAATACAACGTGTTCATTGACCGTGCACTGTGCACAAAACTGCATAAACTCGAACAAGAAGATAGAACAAATACTTTAGAAGAGTTTCCAAACTATGTTTTGAAAGACTATGCCTAGAAAAACTCGGAAAACATTTTGCCATATTATAATATGTCCAGTGAGACATCGCATTAAGTTGCGTTGACCTTATTGTTATGCACCTATCAATGTTTCGCCGGCGGGGGGGGGGGAGGCGGGCCAAGGGGGCGGGATTTGACATTCAAACAAAATTTTGTGTCAAATTCCCTACCCCAGGGATTCAAATATATGATACCCAGGGACAATTAGAAGTGTTTCAAAGAGATTTCTCAAATTACTGAATAATTCCCCCAAAAAGTATATTAAATTTGTACTTAGAAATCGTAGGAAGATTACGGCCATTTTACGCCAAATTTATTCTCGATTTTCTTTTGAAATTTGGATTCGTTTGAGAAGGTATATCCAACAATTGCAAATGTTATTCCTATGATTTCTAAATATGGACAATCGCCTCGTATATTCAACCTGCATGTGGTTGTCTATATTTAGATATCGGAGGGAAAACACTTGTTCATGTTGAATATATTATGTGAAACAAATACAATTTAATTTCTGAAAGAACAAGGTGGTTAATATTATAATATGAAATTTATTCTGAAAATTGTTAATATAAAGAGAACAGTAAAGTTATTTAGCGCCCACAGTCACCAAACTTCCGAACAAGAAATACATAACCACTGCCGTGGGTTGGAATTTTCCAATCTAGCGCAAGTTTTGTGCCACCACAACAAACATCCGTCACAAGAAATCCAGTTTACAACAACATCTTCCCCACCTGGAGGGTCACGTTCACCGCATTCTTCACAAATTTCGTTGTTGTCTTCTGTTTCGACTATGTTCGAGTTAGCATTCTTCTTTTTTCTCGTTTCAGCGGCTTTCTTAGCACCAGCTTTTTGATTCTCAGAGACTCCATGTAAATGTGTAAACCATAGCTTTACCTCTTCTTCTGGCAACAAAGTTTTTTGTGAAGTTTCTAAAATGTCATCTTGAGAAATTTCTTTATTCTTCTGGAATTCCTGGAGAATATAAACTGATGGTGGTTGAAGAAAATCGCTTTTCTTAGTAGCTAAATAACGATCGAGCAGACTTTCGTACTTCATATAGTGCCCAGAACACGAATTCTGACACACACTGCAGTTGCCTTGATATGCTCTATCAGGATCTGCCAAAGGTAGGGGAAGAAAATCAATCGGAGGACCTCCAGGATACCAAGTTACTGGATCTTGTGGACGTCCTGCTTGGCACTTAGGATGGATGCAATCATCATTGTAGCAACAACGGAGAAAAAAGATGTATTTGGTTGGGACGTCTTTTAGCATGTGCTTTTCACGTACAGCCCATGTCTCCTCAAATTTTTTGAACATTACTGGATTCTCCTTTGCCAACTTCAACTTTTTTTCCTTACTTCCCTTTAGAAAAATCTTCAACAAATCAGTCTCCTTCTGACGTTGATCACTGCTTCTACCTTTAAAAAGATGTATTTCCGTGGAGGCACAAGGACTTCCATCCACTCTAGAAATGTATACATCAATGGCAGATTCAAGGTTTTTTCTTAATGTATCTTCATTTACTCCTCCAGATTGTGTTAAGCATGATCCATTAAGTGTAGAGGGAATAAAAAGATTCGCATGTCCGAGAGCTAAGCAGCCATTTTGAAGTTCAACACAGTTGCGAAAACTTGCACCACTGTTACGTGATGTAACAAGTGTAGCAGTTGTTTTGACTTCCAGATGTCTTCAAGTCCACCAGTACTGAACTTCGAGATGAGATGGTCCCTCATCACCAGCACCATCTACTCTGATGCATTCTATATCTTTCATTTGTTTAGTGTCCGGATTAAGGAATGCTGGTTTGGTAGTGTCCTTTTCTTGAATCATCTCTAGATCTACAAAATGCTGAGCAGCATTCTTCACGTGTAACAATGGTGCCTTGACCACGCCAGAGCATATTTCTCCAGTCGTTTCGGTGCATGGAAAATTGTAACATGTTGTTTGGAGTTTCGAAGGATACTTGGTTGTGTAATCAGTGTATGTTGTAACATGCTCATTTCCTTTTGCACAAAGAGTAGGGTGTAGCTTATGGGTTGTCATTGTATCGAGTCTAAATCCTGCTTGATCATCTCTTCCTATATTGGTAATGTTTCGTCCATCTTTATATTGCATAACATCAAGAGCAGCATAAAATGCGTTACTCCAATGACAATCGGAATTGTACTTGGTGTTAAAGCCCTTTCTAGCCCGTCGAGCAACACATAACTGAACTACAGTTCCATAAACAAAACTGCATTTATACACTTGTTCCAAGTACTCTTTTATCCGTTTGAATGTAGCGACAATCTTTCAAAATTCTTGAGGCCATTTTGCTGCGACGTCTTTTAAGAAATCTTTTTTCCGCAACTTTCTTCTTAATTTCACGCACTGCTTTCCTTTTTACGGCAGATCTTTTCTTCATCAAAAGTGCTCTCCCCTTTTCTCCTAGTAATTCTTCTCCTGGAGTCCATACATTCCCTTCATCTTCACTGGATTCAGAATCAGATACTATCATCCCTTCAGCAATATTTCGTTGTTTTGTCTGGAGATCATTACTTTGGATATAGGCTTTGTGTGATTGATCTATTATTCTTTCATCTTCTAGAGATATATCAAATGAAGAAAGGTTCTCTTTAAAATTCGAAAGAACATCTTCTATTGCGTCTGTTTCTGTACCGTTAAACATATCTTGAACTCGTTTAACAAATTCAAACCAATTTAAGTTACACAGGCGAAGTAAATCCAAACATTGTTGAGGACTTAGGACAGATAGACTCTGTTCTGGAGCACAAGACAAAAGCGTCTTATTCATATCAGCGCATTTTTCTCCCTGGGTGTCAGAATCACTTTCACTCTCACTATCGCTTTCTGAACTACTTCCTTCGCTATCTACACCGAAGGAACGTAATAATGCTTTGTCTTTAATCCTACACATCTTCTCAACACACTCTTTAATGGACTGAGCTTCTGCAGCTGCTTCGTTCATGTTCTTAATCCTTTTATCCATATCATGAAAACCATATATCTTGCGGGCTTGAGTAGTGGATAAGGACGATGCTTTAACAATAACACATCGTAATCGTTCCTTCTCAGCTTCACTTTCGGCAAGAAATAAAAGTTCTGCTACTTTATCTTTGCAGAGAGATTCAACTTTAGGAGACTCTAGGCTTTTTTCAAGAAGTGACTGAAAAATAGTATAATTAATCGACTGTTGCTTAGGAACGACCACAAAACTTAATGTTCCCCGTGCGTGACTTCCAATTCCTATTGCTGCTAATGGCATCTGTAACAGTTTTTGGCGTGCATGAAGAGATGTATACGACGTCGTCGTCTGTGGACTTGAAAGCTTAAAAGCTTCTTTTAACTTCATGTAACCATTGCGTTCAATGAAATCAACAACTTTAATTAAACCATCACAAGAACATTTCTTGCCAAATTTCTTGTGACAGGTCTTACAAACAAAACTTTTAACTTTAACATATTCTGACAGAGTCAGTCCTTCAAAACGAGATACATAAACATTGTTTTTTAGTTTCAAACAGTCACATAGTTTCTTTCGCTGTTCGCGTTTGTATATGTCCAAGAGATTTTCCAATTTACCTCCAGAATCACTCTTACTGGAGGGATCATTTTAAAAATCCTGATCGTCGTCGGAACTATGCACTATCAGCGTATCATGTGAAGAATTGGACTCAGTGCGTTCCAGAGAAATGACAGCAATATCTGTTGATACTTCTGTCACGTCAGTTGGCATCACTGCATAACAATCGGCGGATGCTGTAGAGGTATCACTGGTACTACTGGATTGAGGTACGTGTAAAACACTGCCAGTGCCAACAGTATTTGTGGTCTTTGTTTTGGGTAAGGAAACATTCTTTTCCAGACTTGGCTTGAACAATTTTGTTATCTGTTTTGGCGTTTGCGATCTGGGATCTTTGTCATCATTAACTTTAGACTTACTCTTCTTACGCTACCAACTTGCTTTCTTTTCTTTTCGCTCAATCGCGGATATCTGCCTTTTGTATTCTGCCCTGTCTTGCAATAGCTTCCTTATTTCTGCAGACAGCTGATCGCACAGCTTGTAATCTTGCACAGCCTTTGCTTTACTGATTCTTGCTTCTTTAATCTTTTGATGACTTCTTGTGTTTTCCAAGAGGTTTGATAGCCGTTCTTTTTCTCTCTTCCTTTCATTTGAATCGATAGTAGATAGACGAACGGCCAACCTCAACAAAGTAATTGCTGATGACAAGCACAAATTGTCATCAGGATGTGCTCACTTTGGAGGGTAGTGATTGTTGCCATTCATATTTTTTAATTCATTTACTTGAAATTATTAGAATGTTTTTATAATGGCATTTCGATGGATGTGTTTTTTTATGTAATGCCGTATTGAACTGACATAGCAAATTTCTGGTTATCTATTTCCCATAACTCAAAATACTAATGAGAAACATGGCGTTATTAGTGAACTTGTTGTCATTGATAATCTACCGGTAGGAGGATGATAATCTACCAGTATGAAGGTGAGTTTTGAAAGTAGAGATTAAATTCATAAATTAGTTTATAATATAGCATTTGTAAATTCTGAACGCTGATTGGCTAAGAGCCATGTTGATATAACTCAATGTCAACACGGGAAATTTTCCGCCGCTTGTAAACACGGAAATTTTTCTTATCCTTCTGGCTTTTGACATTCGTGGAAGTTGGGAAAACTCGAAATCTCATTTTCCCAATTCCACTCGTGTTGATATAACTGTATATCAACATGGAAAATGTTTTATATTTGTTAAATATTCCATTTAAAATTTTTACCAGTATAGGTGGGTTTCACTAAGCCTAATGCATAGGGAAACACTTGATAATAAATCTTACACATATTGTCGCTTTATACCTTGTGAAAGCGAGCAAATGCAAGGTCAATACATATAATAATTCACTCGACCCAATAACTGTGTTTCCTTTTGGAGTTGACCACCAAGCGCTAAAATATCACGTGACTGAAACCCACCTATTTATTGTAATAAGACTAGGTTTTAAACGGCCCAAAACGTTCGTGGCTCAACAGGAATATATTGTAATACCCTAACCCTAGGATGGCAACCTCGCTTGTAATATTGACTCGTGTGTTATCTGAAAGTTGTTGTTGCCTACTTGTAACACGAAGAAAACAGGTTGTTGTGGCTTCTTTTTGAATATTTCTATTTTGATGCACTGGGTCATGTTAGCATATAATTTTGAAATACGCAAATGATGACTACCCAAACTTTAAATATGTTAATTAGATATTCTGGCTGGCTGTCTGTCTGTCTGCCTGCCTGCCTGCCTGCCTACCTGTCTGTCTGTCTGTCTGTATGTCAGTATAAATATATTTAATAATATAAAGTATAAATATACGGGAAAAAAATCAGTTTCAATATGCATGTTATAAAATATAAACATATTATATTAAAATTAAAATTCAGTGGCCTGATTCCTATTTTATTGATATAGAAAATACAATCTGAGTTGTCTATATTTTGATATTAAATAATATGCTTGACATGAAATCTTCTTTATACCCCAGAACATATAAAAATCTTATATCCTATATAAATCTTAGATGTCTCTGCCTTCAGTTTATTAAATTAGAGTTACTCGATAAAACAAAGATGTATTTTGGTTTTAAAATGTTCATATTGTGTCATTTGCATGCCAAGAATTTTATATATCAAATACTATTTACCGGTAGTGGTTGTATCACTTGTGACAACATGGTATATTCTATTTCCCCAGCCATGTTTTGGTGGTAAAAATTTCTCGCCAGTCATCTTAATGCCCCTCGAACGATTGTTTATATCTTCATTCGGCCTGTAGAATAGTCCAGTAGCCGTCAACCATTGAGATTTTAGAGTACTAAACAACAGTGACTGATCGTCTTCAAGCTCCAATTCTACCTCCTTCCCTTCATGACAAATGACAACATATTCCTCTGGCTCCACATCTTGACAAATAAATGTTCATATATTCTGTTATTTTATATATTGCTCCCATGGGCATACCGGCCGGGGGGGCGGCAGCCCCCCCACAGTTTGTTGGGCAGTCGGGCAATATTCGCTCAACAGTCGGGCAATTTTGGTTTATTATAAAAATAAATGGGACAAATTCTGTCAATTTTGTGGAAAATTCTGTTAATTTTGTGGAGAATTTTGTGATGTTTGGAAAATTTGTTTGATGTTCCGAAAAATTTTGGTATGTCTGAAAAAATTTTTGACCCCTAAAATGGTACACTGACCGAAATTTTTTTGGTGACGGGAGGGGGGTTGGGGGGGAGGTCGACAAAATAAATTCCGGAAAAATGTTTTTCGGTAATTGCCGGGCAAATTCCGGAAAAGTCGGGCAAATTTCTTTCCGCCCCCCTAATTTTTTCCTTCCGGTACGCCCATGATTGCTCCAAGAGAAGTACAATACAAGACCAAAAAAGCTTCATTTGTGATGAATATTAAAAAGGCATTCATGAATATTTATTAAATAAATGAGAAAAATCAACACTTACCGTGTTCAGTATTTGCCGCCATTTTCCAGGGCTGATGACACATGGTGACAGAATTTATCCCAGATGTACCTGAGATCCCACAGTGTCCCTGCTCATTATATATGCAAAATGACAAAATGTGTCAAATGGCCCTGCCCCCGGGACTGTACTGATCGTCAAATTCCCCCCACACGGGACATACTTTCTCGTCAAATTCCGCCCCCTTGCCCCCCCCCCCCGCCGGCCTAACTTTGATAGGTGCATTATAATTTGAATGGCTATATAAGTGCTATACTGTATACTGAACCCAAGGGTGCATATTAACACAATTGAATCGAATGTTATATTCAACACATGGCTAAGTGCTGAATAATTTAACACAATACATATAACACAGTGAAACCATGTTGCTCCGGGCTTTATACTGTAGTTGAACCATTTTTTACTCGAACTGGTAGTATGACGAATTTGAAAATTTGACGACGGCAAACCGTTAACTCAACTGGCCTGCTCAATTCTACACGAGTGAACGAGCTAACTTGGTACGTGAACAACTTTAGGAAGTTACTCTTCTGTCACTTATCCTAAACATGTATTATTTTGTTTGAAAGCTTGCGGATTGAGAGCGATTCAACTCCCGAAAAACACAAGTAGCGATGAATCTTTGGAGGCTGTTTAGACACTTGGACGTCTCCATGTTAGGCAGAAGTTTTGAGGTATACTCCACTAGTAAGACTACAAGCGTATAACATATACGCCTTGCCTTCTTTTCCTTTCGACTTTCAATAACGTAGTGGACCCATGCAGTGGATCCTTCGGTTCTGGTGGTTGGTAAGTTCGCTGGAGGGGGTGTTGGATAAGCAATGGCGTGGAATCTCTTGCATCCATGGCAATCTTTAATAACCCGCTTCACTAATCGTGGCAAACGAGGGATCCAATGTCTTTCTCGAACGTTCACCATTGTCAACCCGACTCCCCCATGAAGTGTGGACTTGTGTGCATGTTCGACAAATTTTCTTGCCAGCAATGATGAATTAGGAATGTAGACCGGGTAAAACCCCTGAACTCTTCCTCTGCATTCTAAAACACCGTCCTCATTTAATTGTAAATTAAGTTGCAATTGATCTCTCGTAAAGGTTTCATCAACTTGTTGTTGAGCTTTCGTGATCAAACAATTTCTCTAAATCACCGGTTGTAAGTGGGCCTTCGATTCTTCTTTCTTTCGCACACCGAATGTTTCCAAGGAACCGTAATAACCAGGCCGTAATCCTCAAGGTCTTCCAATAAGCAAACGTAGAGGGCAAGTTCCCTAACTCGTCCTCTTCTTCCTTGGCCAAGGCAAACAATTGCTTTGTTAGCTTCACTTCAACATCGGTCTCTGTAGTGCGAGTCGTCCTTTGATCTGGTGGCCATTCGTCAGGTTTACTTAGCCAGTCAGGACCCTTCCACCACAACTGATCTCCCTCTTTAATTAACCCACCACAGCTCGCGACATCAGCGGGATATTTTTTGCTAGGTACATGTCTCATGTCACTCCTTCATGCTCACAAATTTTGTTGACACGGTTAGCTACGAAAGTTTTGTACTCTCCTTCGCCACAGATCCAGTGTAGTGCGACACTGCTATCTAACCAACCAACAAGGGATGTTACTGGAAACCCTTCCAAGGCACTGTGCACGTTGTCAAGTAAATTCACCGCCATATGCGCCGAGACCAATTCTTTCCTGGGGATTGTAAGCCCTTGCTTTGTAAGCCCTTGCTTCGCGAGTCTTGCTTTCGCACAAACGAGACCTTGATTTATTTGAGATTCTTGAGTGACCACAGCATACACCGCTGCACCTACCCCATGACCACTCGCATCACCAAAAGTGTGAAGTGTTATGTCCTGAATGGGTTCTTGACTTGAAGAGGGAGGTGGTTTTCCCACTTTCGCCAACGTTTAGTCAATTCGTCAGGCAGTTCTGAGTCCCACTTACACTTTTGCTCACAAGCCTCTCTGTACAGAAGCTTACCTTGTAGGACTGTGGGAGCTAAGAGGCCAAGTGGGTCATAGATTCCGGCTATTTTACCAAGAATACTTCTTTTGGTGGGAGCTACTTCACCAAAAGGAATAGTCACCTCAATTGTGTCTGCTTCTTTATCCCATTTCAAACCGAGGAGGTTGCCTGCTTTCGATTCGTTGCCCAATTGTTGTTTTGCAAAACATGTGTCATCACTACTGTCCGATCGTTCTGTTATAACTCTTTGACATTTGATTGCCACTTGTGTAAATGGAATGACGCTTCTTTAAATATTTCAACTGAGGCTTCCTTCTTCTCATGCATTTCTTGCACTGAAGTTCCTCCGGTTACCAAGTCATCGACATACAACTCTTTCTCTTTTTCTTCAGCATGCTTAGGGTACTTCTCTTTACTCGCATTCAAATGACATTGTAATACCCCTGCCAACAGGAATGGTGATGGTCCCATGCCGAACAGTGCTCGAGTGAATCTCAGAGTGCAAATACGTTGAGGATCTTTATCTTCCAACCAGTGAAATCTCATTGCATCTCTATGTTCTGTCCGAATACGTACTTGAAGAAATGCCTTGCGAATGTCACCATTAAGTGCAACAGGATGGAAACGTCCTCGAACCAGAACTTTGAAAAGTTGATTCTGTAAGGGTGGACCCTTGTTCAAACAGTCATTTAGGGATGGTTGGGATCCTGTTTTCGAAGACGCATCGTAAACTATTCTCGTTTTTGTGGATTCTGATGATTCACGCACGACCGGATGATGAGGTAAATAGAACACAGTTCCAGTTGGTGGCCCATTTGCAGGTTCAACAACTCCTTCTTTCAGTTGGTCTTGAATAATTGAATTGTATTCATCGAATTTGTCAGTTTTCTTCAATCGCTGCACCAAGGTCCCCAAACGTTTCAAACTGTTCTCCTCATTTGAGGGCAAAGGCGGATGGCCTCCCTTCCAAGGGAGGCCAGTCTCATACCACACATGTACAGAATCACGCCGAAGCTGTTCCAAAAACTCTTCATGCACAACTTTCTGGTCTCCAGATGGTGTGTCTTGAATACCGAGAACATCCATGCGACAAAGTTCCTCATAATCAGATTGAGCAGTTTGAGCAAGAAACATATTGTCTAAATTGGGCTGAACTCCTGGCGACATAATTGACCAGCCAAACTGAGTGAACTCCGCCACAGGGTCCCCCATTTCACCAGTTCTTTGTGGTTCACTAGTCTTGATCCTTGAATATTCTGCTGCCCCCAATATGAGGTGTACTGGAAGGACTGATTTGGTATCCGTTTCCACCATATTCACACCTTGTAGGTGTTGGAACCGACTAATCAACTCTGGGTAATTTGGATTCACAACCGACAAGAGATTTCTGCGGTCAACTATTGTTACATTCACTGGGATAACAAAGTTTCCTTCTGTGTTGCTAACTTCAAGATTGTAGATTTCAACATGATTCGTTATTGTCCCTGTGATGGTTTGAATACACCGTGTCAAGGTATTAGATGGATTGATCTTCATTAGGCTGAGAAGATATGCAGACGCATACGATGTCGTAGCTCCTGTGTCCAGTAGTGCTGTACAGGTAATGCCATTTGCTTTGACAATAACAATGGGGTGACAAACCTTTTGCTCTTCGTGTGTTTCTGTCATAGCTGCTTGTCCTGGAATTTGGTTAGGTGAAGGTTTCTCTAAAGTGTCACAAATTGACGAATGATGTTTTTTCTTGCAGTGAAAACAGGTAACTCGACTTCGACACTGTGCTGCATGGTGTCTGCCACCCGTACAATTAAAACATAACTTTGCTTGTAGCTTTCGTTTACGCTCAGTTGGTGTAGCAACCCTTCTTACATTCATACGACTTGTGCTGTTCATCATTACAGTAAACGCAACCCTTTGGTGTTGAGGAATCTTTGGAGAAGAACGAATGATTGCGGTTGTATGGGGTCCTAGGGTTATGTTCGGTAACAACTTCGTTTGAACTTTCCACCGGATGTATTGCTTTCCAATTTTCCAGAGCTTTTAACAAATCAGCAAATCCCCAATCTTGCCATCCAACCTGATTTGTGACCAACTCTGCCTTAATACCAGGTAATTTCTCTATAACACCCCGTACCATTGACAAACTCTGCGATAGTTTACCCAATGTTTCTAACGATTGTACATTGTAGCTCAGGTTCTTAATAAATTCATGTATCTTGTTTACTTTCCTGCCAGTTATTGTAGGCAACTCTTGTATGTTTTTTACATATGCCCTAACAATTTCACTTGTATTCCCATGATTAGGTTTCAAAATGTTTTTAGTACGGTTGTACCCCTCCATGGTAAAGGGTAGCCCATCAATCTCGTCACACACATGGGGCTCTAATAGTTCCTTTAGGTAAGAGAACTTGGTTACAGCTGGGAGGTCTGTATTGTCTATTTCAGCTTCAAATTTATTCCAGAAAGACAGCCATCTTTCATATGTACCATCATACTTTGTTATTACTAACTTAGGCATTTTAACACTGCTCACCTTTGCTTGTTCTGTCTTTGTTGACTTGACACTAACCGAACCCAAGCTAGCCATTTTTGTTCCAATTTACATTTTTCGAAATACAGTTCTTCGTCCCGTTGTTGTTTTAGCAATATTTTCTCCTTTTCACGTTTCTCGCTCTCAGTCCTCGCCTCGGCTTCTGTTAAATATTGATTTAAGTGTGATATTTCGCAATTTGTCCCATCAATCTCGCCTTCGATATCGACTCCCCATTTTTGAACATCTTCGATCGCTTCCCCGTCTTGTAGCTTGTCCTTTTCGCCTTGTATTTTAAGCTCTTCTAATTCTTTTACAATTTTCCCCAACGCTTCTTTATGTCGAATGATTTTGTCAAGATTTCCCTTCTCTAGAATCGCTTTCGTTTTGCTTCGTGTGAGTTTTAATAGTTGTCGCTCGGTGTCTATAAAATTATCGCTCTTTTTTTCCATTTTATCTGTTATTTTCTGGGGGTTTTCGCTCACATATCCCATCGGAGGTGCCACGTGTTGTAAATAGTTAGAATCACTCGATAAAAGGTTTAAAACTTCTTTAATTATCACTTAAACTTGTTAACATTATGCAATCCCAGGAAAATCATGCGTTCTTCCAGAAAAAAACCACGCGTCTCGCGCGATTCTCACGCGTCCATAATTAGACTAATATTACGTAATTCTCGACAACCTTATTAAAATATACTTCGCCCTGATTCGTTCGATGTTGGAATATAGTTGCGACGTTTGCCCCAATACCATTGTGATGAATTGGAAAGAGTACAAAACGAGTAATGCGTATCATATTTCCTGGCCATTCCTACGACGAAGCATTGGTGATGGCGGGTTGCGAAAGATTAGATAATAGACGAAACACAATCTGCATAAAAACCTTGAGGAAAATTATTAAACATGGCCCTCGAAAGGAACACGTGCCGCAAACAAGAGCAACTGCTCACCAATGCAACACCAGGAATTCAAATGATTTATCATTATATACAAGTGTAGAACAGAACGCTTCAAAAATAGTTTCTTCCCAAGCACAATTGCCTAGATAAATAAGTAATTACAAAAAGTAAGCTCTCCAATCGTTTCCTTATTCCATTTAATGATAACTTCTAGCTTACTTTCTAGCTTCTTTTTAACTTTCTTAACTTTGTAAACACGTTATAATTCAAAACATATTTGCGAAAAAAGTGTAACTAAGGCCACATAAAATAAATTCCTTGATTCTCATCACCGCCCGACTGTATTTTAAGAGCCGCGTGAAATTTTTTTATATTTTGTTATACAATATAAATGTACCGCCCGACAAAATATTTCAATACAGTTAAGTTTTTTATATTTATAAAATTGGGTTTTTAGTGCCATTTTAAACTGCCAATTTCAAACAAATAGAACCTTGAAAGAAATTTCATTGCATTTTATGTGACAGTTTGTGACACTTTATTTATTGATATATATATATATATATATATATATATATATATATATATATATATATATATATATATATATATATATATATATATATATATATATATATATATATATATTAAATTATATATATATTAAATTATATAAAATAGTAAAATATAAAATATAAACCTCCCGCCTCTTCGACATTTTCAAAGTGTAGTGATGAGAATCAAGGAATTTATTTTATGTGGCCTAAACCATCAATAATAATAATAATAATAATAATAATAATGAAAACTTTATTGAATTTTTACGTATATATATATACAATTGTAAATCTCACTACTGACTTAGGTAATTTACAATTGGCTACATGAATCACAGAGTACTACATATGTACTATTTACAGTAAAAACAAGAATAAAATGGGTACATGATTATATATATTGTTATATGTAGTTATTAATTTAAATGTTTAACAATTCAGGATTTGTCCACTCTTTGTTTCGACAGCAAAAAATATAGTACGTCGCTCTAATGGCATAAGACGTCATCTTTTTTATGCAGTAATGTTGCTGCTTTTTATCCATTCCTATAGTAATAATAATAATAATAATAATAATAATAATAATAATAATAATAATAATAATAATAAAGGTATTCAACACTAGAAAGTATTCTGATAGTATTGTATTGCCTGCCCCCAATAAAGTAACAAAAATAGGCAGTGGCGTAGCCAGCTCGATAATTGGGGGGCGTGGCATATTTATATATTCGTGTTCTGCATTATTAATTTCTTTTGAAATTGATTGTTTTTAAGGTCTGTGAACACAAGTATATGATTATGGGGCCCCCAATTATCGCGCTTACTACGCCACTGAAAATAGGAAAGTAGCAACCTAAGTTTACTATTTTCATTCGTCTTTATAGGAAACGGCTGCATTTTGTGGAATAAGTGCAATGCCTACTTTTATCTTTTATCAAAACAAGGAAAAGGTAAATAATCATTGTATTTTCAGTTATTTCTGAATTACTAAATACATATGACAATCTTAGGATAAATATTAATGCCCAGCATAAAACACGTAAAAGAGCCATAACAAAATTATAATTTAAAATATTTATTTGAAAGCTAACGTTTCGTCTTTAACTTAAGACATCTTCGGAGCAATGACATACAAAGCGGAAAACACAGAAATATGAATAAATTACAACTATTTACAAGTATTATATTACAAAAGTAGAAAGAGGAATGGATCAGAGTAGAAGTAGAGGGACCGAGCTGCCCTGTAAGTTGAGAGAGGGTTTCAGTTTGTTAATGAGAAGACTTTCTCGAATGAGGAGTTTGTCTGGAGAAGAGCAACAAGAAATAATCTTAAAATCATTAAGAGAGGCGGAGTGACCAATGCTATCAAGATGGGAAAGGATACTAGACATGGTCGGATTGCTGCTTTTACTGCATGTTAGAGGAGAAACACCCAAATGTTCAGAAACTCGTGTGTGCAAGGTGACGGACCGTTTGGCCCAAATACGTTGCGGAATAAATATTAAAATAAATAGTTTAAATTATAATTTTGTTATGGCTCTTTTACGTGTTTTATGCTGGGCATATTAATATTTATCCTAAGATTACGATTTCCGCCTGGTTCATCTATCGCAAACATATGACAATGTTCTGACCACAGAATATGGATCTAACCGTTTTGACATTTTTATGTAAAGTAAATTTATAATTAAGCAATCGGGCAATCTCATTGCCCATGCTCATTAAGCCTAGGTTACACGTGCGATTTTTTCTCGCGTCGGCAACGCAAAGGGTCAAATTTCATTGCGTTTCACTAGAGAAGAAATCGCACGTGTACCATGCTCTGCGCGGCAACGCAATTGTAACTTGATACCTTCGGCATTCGTTGCCGAAAGTTAAAAAGACTTTGTCAGCCAGCCAATGAAAATCGCTTTATTCTTGACAAGTGGACTGGCTAGTGAAAAAATATTTGGGGGGCACTAATCCTGTGGTCTAGTAAGAGTTCCCAGTGTATACACGACTGACGATACATGGCGAAATTAGTTGATTTCTAAAACTGATTGTTGCTTTCATACAGTCACAGAATAATGATACACTTTTAAACGCATGTTAGGATCTTTGGGCAGTCTGAGCAATACTGACAACATATGCTTGAATTTTGTTTCTATCGAACAGAACCACACTTCACATTGATGGTTTTTAGTGTAAAGTCTCACTTTACATTATTGTGATGGTGACGAAAATTCACACTTATCAGTCATTCATTCAGTCAATCAGTCAGTCATTCATAGAGTAAACTTTCCGGGGGGTGTATACGATTTATGTTCTCAGTGATTTATTGTACTTAGTCAGTACTTTGAAAGTTTTTTAGGTAATTTTATTTGTCTTATAATAGTTTTGTTTGTGGAAACACCACGTAAATTTATTACTGCAAAGCTTTCGATCCGTAAGCCCGGATCTTCATCAGTGCTAATAATATTGTGACTTGTTTAATTCACACGCTCTTTTCAAGCTTACGGATCGAAAGCTTTGCAGTAATAAATTTACGTGGTGTTTCCACAAACAAAACTATTATATATTTTATCGCCATGCAATCATACAAAGAATTCATTTGTCTTCTTTAAATATTCTTTAGGCCTTTTGCCAGGTTTACAAAAATTTCGAGAAATCGTTGTCGTTATTGTAATTTTTTGTAAATTTTAGAACATTCGCTTCTCATGTTATGTAAAGGATCTTTCCCCCGGAACACCCGATTTTTTCTTTAGCAACGCAAATGCGCATGCGCTGTCAAGCCGTAGATCAACGATGGCGTGACGATGCTATAAATATTTTAGACGTGAATATAAGTAAATCTTTGAGAATGTGCGCAACATATAAATTGATGTTATGCATTATGGGCATTCAATCAAGTATCGATATTATTTTATAGACGGTATATTCATTATACAGAGCTGCATGGGAAGGAGCTAGACAGTGCTTTTTTCAAATGTATAAACATTTCAGACGTATTAAAATATTGAGATTCTAGGCATTCAATTAAGTGTCGATATTGTTTTGACGATATATTCATTATACAGAGCTAGGAAGGAGCGGTACAGTTTGTTTTCAAATATATAAACATTTCAGACATGAATATCGAGAAAATCTTTGAGATTCTACATTCATCATACATCGACTGTATAAGGTGCTACACAGCTACACCACAGAGTAGATGGCTACACTCAGTACAAAGTCAAAGAGCGAAAAATTGCATCAGTCAGTATTGACATCTAAAGTGACATTATTAAATACTTGCGAAAAGCTGAAAATGACTCATGAAAAGCAACTTGATCTTGGGTTGATCTTGGGAGTATAAAGTCAGCGGATTCACGGAGCGGATGCGGAACGGATATGGGGATAAAATGCGGAACGGATATGGGGATAAAATGCGTCATAATGAGTTTTTCGCCTCATTTTTACGTTTTGTGTTTTTGATTTAGGTTATTTTGTAATGGATGCAACGTCGTATTAACTAATTATACAGCTATTTCAGTTAAAGAGTACTCATTGAGACAATAGTGAAATGTGCAATATGGGCGCTGAAAGGATGATGGGAATAATCATAGTTTAAATAAGTTTAGTATATCAGTAGCCTCATGGGGATACTTTTAGCGGCAGCTCCCAATGAAAAATTAATGTAGTTTTAGAATATACAAAATTTGGTTATGGTGAAACAATTTAAATTTCGAGTTGTCGCGTGTAGCATCCCAATAAATAAATAAATTGTATCGGTTCCACGAGGCACGTTTCTGATGTGTTAGACTTGTTTCAAACGTCACGCTACTCGTGTGCCGAACGCATTAAAAACAATAGATAATGAGATGAAATGTCTATGCTAACTGTTTATTTCGTAGTGTAAGCCATCAGCTTTACAAAACAGAAAGTCGTCATGCCCAAATAAGATCTCTTGCAATTCAACATTTAATAAATATAGTGGAGTGACAAGGAATTGAGAGTGAAATAGTAGGGAGAAATAATAGGAAGTGACAATTAAGGAATTGGTTATCTCGTAAAAACGTTGTTCTAATCCACATTTTTGAGTAACATGCCTGCTGTAGCCTATGCCTGCTGTAGCCTATGCATGCTGTAGCCTATGCATGCCTGCTGTAGCCTATGCATGCATGCTGTAGCCTATGCCTGCTGTAGCCTATGCATGCTGTAGCCTATGCCTGCTGTAGCCTACGCATGCCTGCTGTAGCCTATGCCTGCTGTAGCCTAGGCCTGATGTAGCCTAGGCCTGCTCTTGCCGTCACAGGTTGTCGGCGACCCTATACAATTCTTGCCGTGTCTTTTTCAATTTGAAACTTTACAGCATGCATGCTGTAGCCTATGCATGCTGTAGCCTATGCATGCTGTAGCCTATGCCTGCTGTAGCCTATGCCTGCTGTAGCCTAGGCCTGATGTAGCCTAGGCCTGCTCTTGCCGTCACAGGTTGTCGGCGACCCTATACAATTCTTGCCGTGTCTTTTTCAATTTGAAACTTTACACTATCCTTGGATCCCTAGTTTATACTTGTGTCTAAAATTAAGAATGTTAAATTTTGCCAAGAAATCGTGAATTTAGTCTCGATTTGTAAAACCTCTGACTTTGCACTTCTCTTACCCGACGAGAAAATCATTGCCGACGTCATGTTACCACTTGTCTTGCGCCACCCCTACTCTAACCCCTAATCTCCAACGCAATTAAACAACTTTAGAGATTGATTAAATGACGTAACGTCAGTTTGGTAGATGGAAACAAGTGAAAACCATACAAATGATGTGGAGAGTTCACTCTCCCGAGTCTCCACGGAAAGAGCTTATACCGTCACACAAAAGTGAAACTGAAGACATTAACTACTCTACACTGGACATTTACCCAACTGTAAGAACAACATAAAGAAACATATAAATTGTACTTCCTGACCTCCCAAAAGTGAAAGCGACAACATAAAAAAAGCTATATATAAAAGTTAAACAATTGACAGGGTTCGTAGCGGTCTTTGAAATCCTTGAAAGTCTTTAAATTTGAATGTAGGTCTTTAAGGTCTTTGAAAAGTCTTTGAATGGTGTGAAAAAGCGAAGAAAGTCTTAAAAATTTTTAAATTCTTTAGTGAGAATTTGATGACGATTTCCTAGCTGATAAAATAGATTGAAGCAAGATTTTCGTAAATATCGACGAAAAGGTGCATTTTAGGATGTGATTTGACAGACTAATTACCCGGTAAAAATGGTGCTAATACACTAGCAATTTTTCGACAGTTGATTGCTCATAGATGTCTTGGTACTGTATGCATACATATATCCCCTCTCCCGCACTACGATACAGGCACTTCTGGTTTCCAGGAACCAGACAACGCTGCACAAATGCACTCCACAAACTGTTTACAGCAATGGACAGCTAAAGCAAAGCAAATCACAGCTATCATGCAGCCATTGCTATCATGCATTCATCGCTATCATTGATAACAAAAAAACAAAACGAAAGGGGTGGGTGGGTGAGTAAAACGTGCAACGTCTTGATAGGTTGCAGACAATGTGCTTAAAACAGTGGAAGACTCGCTCATAGCCTAAATAACCTTCACACTATTGGTCGTACACCCACACGTTCGTGCTTGATGTTATTGCATAAAATATATCATTTAAATATACATTGTAAACATGATAAGCCATTAATGATAGGGTAGAGTGGAGGCAGGGCTCATTAGTATCTTTTAGTGCCTGCAAGCAAAATTCATAACTTCAAAATGAGCCTGCAAAAATGCATCGTATTTTAAGGCCCTGTCACACTATTGCGTATGAGAGAAACGTATGAGAAGCGTATGAAAATTAATGAAATAATTTTCATACGCACAAAAATCCTTTGAAATGCCAGCGTATGAGTACCGTACATCTGGCGTACCTCTAGCGTATTTAGCGTGTGCCTAGAGTATGCTTATCGTATTGTAGCGCCAGCGTATACCGGCGTATGAGTGATATTTTTCATACGCTGGCATACGCTAGTACGATACGCAATAGTGTGACAAGGCCTTTAGGTTTTGAGAGCTAACTATTGTTAAAATGCCAGTATTTTAAAATGTACCTTCACAAATTCAAAAAAGTGCCTGCGTGCAGCGCTCGCACGGCTTGTACATTTTAATGCGTCTGAACAGAGGCAAAGAAATATCGTACAGCAGTAGTATAAGCAGCGGGTGGGCTTATACACGGGTGGGCTTATACACGTGTGGGCTTATACACGGGTGGGCTTATACACGGGTGGGCTTATACACGGATGGGCTTATACACGGGTGGGCTTATACACGGGTGGGCTTATACACGGGTGGGCTTATACACGGGTCAGGTGGGCTTATACACGAGTGGGCTTATACACGGGTGGGCTTATACACGGGTGGGCTTATACAAGGGTGGGCTTATACACGGGTGGGCTTATACAAGGGTGGGCTTATACAAGGGTGGGCTTATACAAGGGTGGGCTTATACAAGGGTGGGCTTATACAAGGGTGGGCTTATACAAGGGTGGGCTTATACAAGGGTGGGCTTATACAAGGGTGGGCTTATACAAGGGTGGGCTTATACAAGGGTGGGCTTATGCACAGGTGGGCTTATGCGCGGATGGGCTTATACAGGTGGGCTTATACACAGGTGGGCTTATACACGGGTGGGCTTATACACAGGTGGGCTTATGCCACAGGTGGGCTTATACAGGTGAGGCTTAGCCACGCAGGTGGGCTTATACACGGGTGAGCTTATACACGGGTGGGCTTATACACGGTGGAGCTTATACACAGGTGAGCTTATACACAGGTGAGCGTATGCACGGGTGGGCGTATGCACGGGTGGAGTGTATACACAGGTGGAGTGTATACACAGGTGAGCTTATACACGGGTGAGCTTATACACAGGTGAGCTTATACAGATCAGCTTATACACGGATCGGCTTATACACGGGTCGGCTTATACACGAAGTGGGCTTATAATCAGGTGGGCTTATAATCGGGTGGGCTTATGTCAGGTGGGCTTATACGGGTGGAGAAGCCACGGAGTCTGACTATACACAGGTCAGGTGGGCTTATGCACAGGTGAGCTATACACAGGTGAGCTTATACACGGGTGGAAAAAGCCATACAAGGGTGAGCTTATACACGGGTGGGCTTATACAAGGGTGGGCTTATACACGGGTGGGCTTATACAAGGGTGGGCTTATACACGAGTGGGCTTATACACGGGTGGTCTTATACAAGGGTGGTCTTATACAAGGGTGGGCTTATACAAGGGTGGGCTTATACAAGGGTGGGCTTATACAAGGGTGGGCTTATACAAGGGTGGGCTTATAAAAGGGTGGGCTTATACAAGGGTGGGCTTATATTCGGAAGTTTACGGTATGAAGATCGAGATTCAAATCTGATGTACTGTAGATATTAATGAAATTTGCTCTTGTTCTCGGTGTCGCTGAAAAAATAGTTTAAATCTCTGATGATTCTATAATAAACCATAAATATATTTTTTTAAGCCCTTATATAGTCTGTCACTCTGCCCCTCCCAGAGCGTATACATGCAGTACATACTTTAGATTTTAAACCTGCAAACTTTTAATTTATTTTTAGATCGACTCAGTGACTGGAGCAAGTCAAAAGAAACTCGAAGATACACTCAAAAAGCATAACAAATAATTTTCCCAATCAAGTTTCGTTGTGAACTTAATATTTACAATGGCAAACTGTCCTGTAACATGCAACTTGAAGTAATAATTAAAACTTAATAAGTTAATAACTGTTTCATATCTCTGGTTAGCCTGTGTACAGAACAGTCTGTGAAAATTTGTGCTTGTCGACCCCCAGCAGCGCTACCAAAATCTGGGTAGTTGATTCTGATTGGTCATGACTGAATTTAATGTATTCTGATTGGCTGGACTTCGATTTTTAAAATCGGATTGAGACTTGATGTTCATTAAAAATTTTACTTCTCTCTATGCTTCAAACTACTAAATTTTCGATACAGAAATGTTTCTGATGTATTGCAGACTAATATGATATCCAATTGAACAAATGAAATGCAACGAGTTGAAAATAACGGCAATTCCTGAATGTGATGTGGTTTGTTTACGTTATTTGTGTTGTGACTTTGAATTTACTGAGAATCTACTGAGTTTAACTATAACCAATCAGAATTAACTACCCAGATTTGAGTAGCCTAGCTGGGGGTCGTGTACAGGCTAATCTCTGGTTTTCTACTCCAAAACTCTATGCACGAATATGTTCAATACACGGGGATCCATGGACGGCGGAATAGGGGGACCAGGGCTCTCCCACACAGAAGCAAAAGTGGGAGGCTAATCCCAGAGTGAGTGGTCAATGAAATATTCCTAAAGTGAATTTTAACTTGGGGGATAGACCGATCCAGGTAGTTCTATTATGCTAATTTGCTGACGAATTCAGCCAAATTGACCATAACCAATTTTAAACCAATTTTTGCCGTACAAATTCTTGAATTCTGAGAAAGTGCAGGAAATGGAATTTTCGAGCCTCAATTTTTCTGGGGGAACATGGCTCCCACTAATTTTCAGCCTAACGTGTGGCACCTATTAGTTTTCAGCCTAACTTTAAATATCTTTATACGCTACTGCTGTGACAGTTGCATCATGTTTTGGCAGTTTTGCGTGTAGTGTTTGCACTTGGCTGAAAACTACGGTACCGAATGTAGCTGAAAATTAACCGCCACACCCAAAAAGAACCTTGATCCATTTGTTCACACGGGAATTGTTCCGGCTAGCTGTGCTCAAAGCCTCGATTCGTCCGACTTCACGCGTCCCATGTGAATAAGCAAAGCGAAATTATATGGTGATGGAATCATTGGTGATGGAAATCATTAGCCGAATTGATATTAGGGACGGAAAACTCGTCTTAGACGAGTTTCCCGTCTCTAATATGAATTCGGCTATTGTGGAAATCATGTGGTTATGATTTCATCTGGTTCGGTGTAGTGAACGGAGTCGCATTGTCAACTGCCATACACTCTCAAATGTTTTGAAGCTTCACCTCCACCTTCACTTCCTATTTGGAAGAAAGGGAACAGTTTTTGTTACGCGGTCTTTAGAAAATTCATCAATTATATAAAGAATAAAAGGTAAGCAGCTGACCCAATTAAGTTGTATAAGGGCCTGTTGCCACTCAGGAACATTTTCCGCAGAAGGAAAATTTTGTAAAATGTGATTGGCTGACATAAAAATTTTAAAAATTAAAGTTGAAAAGTTTCAACAATGATATTTTCGGAACATTTTCTGTCCGCGGAATATTTTCTTGAGTGGGAAAGGGTCTTTTAACAAGGTTGTTGTCACGTCGATATCAGGATATGTTCGCACTGCTTGTTGCCAGTTGTTGTGACAAGTTTGGGACAAGTTCAGTGTTATCACCTTGTTACAAGATTGATGTTAATAGACTTGCTATAAGTTGTTTCAACAAGACTATACTGTACAGGCTATTCTTAACAAGCTGTTCATATGAACTTACGGTTACAGCTCAACAGCTGGCCTCTGTAGCTCAGTTGGTTAGAGCGCTGCACCGGAATCGCAGGGCCGTAGGTTCAATTCCTACCAGAGGACCTTGTGCTGCATTTTTCGCAGTCGTTCCTGGTTAGGTCTTAAAATGTATATATATACTCACTTGGATTACAAACCCTAACATTCTAATATTAATTCCACCAAGTGAAGTGCAAGAATCCAAATCTTTGAAGGAGCGAACTGACTATGCAATAGGATTTTTTGTCTTGTTTGTTTTTATACTATTGATATAGTGTTCTTTGAATTTTGAAACTTAGCATACTCAAATGTTTCTGGTATATTACCTGCGTATTTAATAGTTGAACTCTATAGCCTGTCTACGGACGTTTTAAAATCCTTAATTCTTAAACGTTTGTGACTTGGGGCCTTCGGTTTGTTTACTATATATTGTTTGTTTACCCATCTCAGTCATCTCTAGCCTGGCATAAATATACATGTAAGAGGGTCTTAATGGGGGTCTTTGGGTGTCAGTTGTCAGCTAAAATTTAAGCCACATCATTTCTCAGTAGTCAGTTAGGATATTTTTTGTCAGTTGTCAGTTGTCAGTAGTCAGTTAACCCCATTCAGACCCTCATGTAAGTGTTATACGTGTAACTGTTCTACCAACTGCAAAATGCTGACTTATCATTTTTTTCATCATTTCTCAGTAGTCAGTTAGGATATTTTGTCAGTTGTCAGTCAAAAATTCAGGCAAATGTCAGTAGTCAGTTAACCCCATTCAGACCCTCATGTAAGTGTTATACGTGTAACTGTTCTACCAACTCTTCTACCCTTACTGGCTTACACACCAGTACCATAGATATCTTATATACACTAGATAGTGCATCTAATTATTCTGAAATTCAAAAATTGAAGCCGTGATTG